ATCGGGGGTGCCTGGGGCAGAGCCTGACTATTGGAAGGGGGGCTATGAGGGATCTGGGGTGGCATCCTTCCCGCCCCAGACTCCTCATAGCCCCCCCCTTCCGATAGTCTGGCAAATCTGATAATCCGGCACCCCCTGGGTCCTAGAGGTGCCGGATTATCGGAAGTTTACTGTACATGCCCTACATGGCCATCTACTTGCCCAGGGTGTGCCTTCCTATTTACACTGCTATTTTTAACAGCAGAGAGTCAACACTGGCTCCCCATTGCTCGAGCCTTCCCCTGCCACAGGGAAAGACTCCAAGAGCAATGAAGAGCTCCAGCAGTGAGGAAAGGCTCAGCCTTTTCTTAAGGTCTCCAGTGAGCCAGAGCCTTTCACTTACATGTATAGCTATACACTGCACAGTGAGTTTTTCATGGCAACATATCTTATACACCACCTCCAGCAGTGTCTGATGTAGACATAGATTTAGTTCAATCATAAAGAGAAAGTTATATCAACTTATTCCAAAACAATGACATAATACTGCATTTTTCACTGAAATACATTTTTGGTTGAGTTGATGAGTACAATTACTACTAATTATGATTTTAAATAATAGACACAAGGTAGGTGAGGTAATAATTTTTATTGGACCAACTCTGTTGGTGAAAGAATCTAGCTTGAGAGCTAGAGATCTTCTTCAGCTCTGGGAACAGTACTCAAGGGTGCCACAGCTAAATACAAATTAAACAGGATTAGCTACTTGCACTTTTATTTAGCTGTGTCACCAAGTATATTATCCAGTCCAGAAGAAGAGATCTTCGAAAGCTTGTCTCTCTCACCAACAGAAGTTGGTCCTAAAAGATACTACTTCACCCACCGTCTCTCTCTAATATCTTGGAACCAACACAACAACATTGCATATTGCACATCAGGGACGCGAACATATATTCGTATACACCACAGGTCTGCAACCTATGGCTCTCGAGCCAAATACAGCTCTTTTGTCATACTCAAAATACATGCAACTTTTTAAATTAAAATGAAAAATTCAAAATTTTAAAAACATGCAATTACTCATGTGGCTTGAATGCATGCATGAACCTGAATTTGACCAATTATGATTTAAACTTCAAAAATATGTACAAAAAGATGCAGCAGAGCACCACCATTAAAGTCTATGAGTAGAGTGTTTCATTTATGCTATTACTCGTGTCAATTATCAATGATACTAAGTTGTATATTTTCAGTCATGCAAAATGGTCACTCTTATACTGGCTCTTTGTTGACCATTTGTTCTGAATTTTGATGTAGTTTGGCTCTTTGATTTGAAAAAGGTTGCCAACCCCTGGTGTACCTGTATCAGAGGCAGCAACACGAGGGTGAGGCAGGAGCTAGTAGTTCCCACAGAGGCCCCCACCTCCATGTTGCTGCTTCCCACAAAGGCAGTAGCAGGGGCGTGCAGATGCAGGCAGGAACTGGTGCTTGCAGGGAGCCAGCTTAACAGCCTGCAGAGCCGCCTCCCCCTGCCACTCCTCCCACATAGGTGCCTCTGATACAGAGGCAGCAGCAGCATGGGGGGAGGGGGAGGACACAGGCAGAAGCCAATACACATGGGGAGCAGGCTTTCAAACCAGCTCTCTGCACATACCAGCTCCCGCGGAACCAACTGCTCCTCCTGCATTGTTGCCTCTGAATTGCCTTCCCTTCCCCCCGCATGCAAACAATGAAAAAGTCACTAGTTACATGATTACAAAGACACATGCATTTAACATCCCTGTTGCACATCTAGTTAAAACACTGGAGAATTTAAAAAAAACAAAAACAAAATTACTGCTCCACACGAAAGCTATTGCTCCAAAAATTTTACACAAGTTTTAGGTAATCATTAACTTTTGTGGCTATCTATAATCTCAACATAGGTTCAAATATTCATTATTTGAAGTCTTACTTTAAATATTAAAAATTATATTTATGTAATTTCATAAACTTACAAGGTATACTGGGTCTTGTATAACCTTCAGTCTAGAAAAAAAAGAAAAAAACCCACGATTTATTTAGATTAGAGTTCCTTGCTTAGATATAAATAGTATCGGTTGTTTCCCCACAATCCAATTCCTCTACTGTGCACAGCAGAAACTAGAACCCCCACAGAATCTGGTTCATTATACCTATATTTACCAATAACTATTGCACCACAATTTTATATTAAAACTAATGATAACATTATCATGCAGCAACCTTTACAATTAGCACTTGTTTTCTGTAAGAATCAAGTTTGAGATTCAAGAATTTCATCAGGTTCTGAGCACTTTTAACATGAAAGTAATTTCGACCCTTTACCACTATGTATCTTAATGTAATATACTAGGGCTGTCAAGAGATTAAAAAAATTCAATCACAATTAATTGCACAATTAATCACGCGAGCCTCCCATTTGAATCGCCGCAGCACTGCATGGAGCCTGGGGTCAGCCAGCTGACCCTGGGCTCCATGCAGTGCTGCTCCTTTGAATCGCTGGGGCGGCATTTCCAAGGGGCAGCACAAGGCATTCCGTGTGACATTTCAGTGAAACCCAGAGTCATCTGGGGACTCCCAAGCTGATCCTGGGTTCTGGGGAAATGCCACAGGGAGCCCAGGATCAGCTGAGCAGTCCCCAACCGACCCTGGGCTCCACAGCAGCTGCTCCTTTAAAATGCCGCCTCTGCACATTTCAGAGAGGCAGTGGAGCCCAGCGTCAGCTGGGGACTCCCCAGATGACCCTGGGTTCCGTTGCCACAGGGAACCCAGGATCAGCTAGGAAGTCCGCACCTGACCCTGGGCTCCATGGCGGCTGTCCCTTTAAAACACTGTCTGTGGCCATTTCAAAGGGGCAGCTGCCATGGAGCCTGGGATCAGCTGGGCAGTCCCCAGCTGACTCCAGGCTCTGCTGCCCCTATGAAACACATGGATGCAGCGTTTCAAAGGGGCAGTCGCCGCACAGCTGATCCCCGTTCATGAAACACCGCCTCCATGCATTTCAAAGGGGCAGTGGACCCCAGCTGATCCTAGGCTCTGCACTGCACTGCCCCTTTGAAGCACAAGAGTGGCACTTCAAAGGGGCAGTGCAGCATTAACACCTGCAATTAATACATTAAAAAAATGTATGCATTAATTCTGCTCTGCTTTAATCGCAGGCATTAGCGCATGTGAACTGACAGACCTATAATATACACAACATTTATCACTGAAAGCAGGACTGGCTGGATGTTTTCTGATTCTAAAAGTTCTAAATTTCTGCAAAAAAAACAGAAAAAATGTTTTGATGAAATTTTAAAGCATCTTCCCTCTTCTGATTTTTTGACAAACATTAAGTGAAATACTAATTCAGAAAGAAGTATGCTTTCTGAAAGCACTTTGCAAAATTAAATAAAGTGTATTACTTCTTAAAATTCAAAATTTAATAGGGTCTAATGTCAATGTTACCAAAAACTTAGATATACAATCAAAGAACAAATTCAGTTGCTAGTTTAAATTTATCTCATTTACCTTATACTTTTTTAAACCTTCCGTCTTTTCTATCTCTCTTGCTACCCGTCTGAGAAATGAGACTTTGTCCTCTTGTGCGTTTTTCTTCATTTTTTCTGGAAATTTGTCAGACTGTCAATGAAAAAAGTTGGGAGACCATTTCATTATTAATTTTGACGAGTCATGCTTTTTGGAAAAACTTTACAATACTTCCCCTGCCACACTGAGCCCAGAATCAGCTGGGAAGTCCGCAACTGACCCTGGGCTCCATGGCAGAGAAAACTAAACAGCAAGATTTTAGACACTGTGGACCTACATTTCCTCTAGCATAACGTAATTGTGATTTAATATGACAAATGTTCATTACTTTTTATCACTACAGAATTTTAACATTAAACAGAACTCATGTAAGACATTTGAACAAAGAAACATGCTTTATACACGGTCCTAAAGGCCACCAGGCTTTGGCTCTGAAGGACTAAGAGAGGGAGCTGTTGTGACATGCTTCAGGAGTTTTAGTAGAGACACTTCAGCCAGCTTAGTCCCATGGCAAACACCACTAAAAAAATCTTGAACCTTTTACTGCAAAAACAAAAAACAAAAATTTGACATACAGCATATTAAGGCTTTTATTTTAACAACATTTTAACATTTCATTTTAATCCCTTAATCCTTTTTCCTGTAAGCAGAGACATTTTTTCTATGGGTGCAAGGAGAAGAAAAAACAGTTGAAATGGGTTGAACTGTTGTTCTTAAAAGTCTGATGCTATTTCATTAAAGACGATTAAACACACCTAACAGAGGAAAGAAAATAATAGCCAAAATGGGCAGAAAATGCAAGCTTCTATCTTTGGCATTGACTCTTACTGGCAACCTCACTACTAGAGAAACACAGGCCCAACACAGTCTTATCAGCTATTCAGAAATTGTACAAGCATCAGGATGTTCAGAGTTTTATTTATAGCCGTTTCTATAGGCCCAGGCTCTTCACAATATTGCAAAAGGTGGAGTTATCTTAGTCATCTGATCTAGACTTTTTTTTTTTTTAAAGACAAAAAGCCATAGATGAGGGAAAAATAAGCTGAAAAACAAATATAACATACATGCAAAAGAGTGACAGCCAGAATCAAAATCTCACACACCAAGTGGTGCTTGGGATTTAGCTTCTGGAGGGGACAATGTGATTTGGATCCCTCTCTCTGGCCAAGTATGATCAGGACATCAATCAGAATCTGGACTTTGAAGGCCCGACGGTCTCTCAGTGGATATGGTTGGCCCAAGAGATATTAGAGACAATCACAATAGCCACTGACTCTCCAGCCATCTAATGCCAATATGATCCTCCCTCAAATGTTTTTTTAAGGACCTCAAAAAGAAGGTATGGACAAAATAACCCAATCCCTGACTAGTTTGTCTATTAAGCAGTTTCCAATAACTAATTTTGGGTCATTCATTTCCAACCCTACCCTCCTGATTTACCAGACATGATTTTATAGCCTGTGTGTTATAACAGCAAGACTTTTTAAGACTAACCCAGTCTTTGTCTGTTTACCCACTAAAATTCGTTATAAGTTATTGGAACATTTTATGAACATTTATCCACTTTCTTCCACACTTGGGTAGTCCTGTCCTCCCCAAATCACTACACTATAGAGTCACTGGTGTATTAGAACTCACATTATTGACGGAGAGCAAGACCTTACTCAAGCAACAGAAAAACTGTTTTAAAAACAAGTTAGTGTTATACCACTTATGGTTTAAAAAAAAAAAAAAAAAAGACACTTACATCCAGAAGCCAATTTAGTGTAGGGTACGTCTAGACTACAGGCTTTTGTCGACAGAAGTTTTGTTGACAGATACTGTCGACAAAGAGCGTCTAGACTACATTCAGTTCTGTCAACAAAGCAAGCTGCTTTGTCGACAAAACCCTGTAGTCTAGACACAACCCTACATGCAATAACACCTTCTGTCGACAGAAGGCGTTATGCCTCATAAAATGAGGTTTATCAGCGTCGACAAAACTGCTGAGTTCTGTCGACATTATGTGGTAGTGTAGACGCAGGTATAGTTTTGTCGACAAAAGTCCACTTTTCTCGACAAAACTCTGTAGTCTAGACACACCCATAGAGAGGTCAAAGAGTAGTCAACAAGCCTAGGTTTATCAGTTAATCTAGTATACTACTTATATTTCCAAACCCATCTTGCTGCCACAGCATTTGTCCACAGCAAGCCCAGGCTCCCCACAGAGAGCAGTCCCTGTCCACGGAGGGTCTGAGCTCAGACCCCCTTTTCTCCCCTCCCACCCCCCCGGCAGACAGGGACTACTGCTACAACAGCCTCTGTCTGTGGCTAGCCAGGACTGCTGCAGACAGAGGTTGCTTCACAGCAGCCTGCTCCACTCCCTCTTCCTCCGCAGCAGCCTCTGTCCGCAGGGCAGAAGGCAGCAAGTCTGCGCAGGGAGCTGGTTTTTAAACTGGCTCCCCTCATGGACGTACTCCTGCCTAGCACCCTGTGCTGCTGCCCAATACAGCAGAAGGCAGGATTAGATTTCCTGGCAGGGGCCAGCAAAAGGAGTGTGGGTTCGCTGGGTGGAGCAGGGAGTCCAGTGCTGCTGTGCTGGACCCACAGTACTGCCGGATACAGAGACAGCAGCACAAGGGTAGCGGAGGGCTCCCCAGGAGTGGGGCCAGAGCACAGTGACTGCTGTTCCTATTCCCGGGGACTACAGAATAGTGGACTAACTGCTAGGAATTAATGCGGTCATGCAACCATTCTATTACTCACTATCTAACATCCCTAGTTTAATACACAGATTTACTGATTACTCTTGGAAGTCTGACCTGTTAAAATGACAAGTTCATTGTAATAAGAGAAGTAAATAGAACTAAATTGAATCAGGAACAATATATGGGCTTCATCGCCATACACTAATCATCTAAATACAGCCTGTGCCAGAACACACTCAGTCACCACCGACAGGAGTCCAAGAAACCACAAGTTCAGATATACAGGCAGTTCAAGATTCTCAGTTGCCCAAGATTCTCAGTTGCCCAAGATTCTCTTAACGAGTTACTAAGCAGATGACCTCTTGTTCACTTTGGCCATCACTAGATGGCAATGACCTTTGCCACTCCTAGTGCAGTTGGGACATAAAATCTCCCTACCTGATTACCAACTACCAGAGCAAACTCTAATGGCTATAGAAGTAACAAAAGTAAAAATGCTGCTATATCTTCAAGTTTATTTGGATTCCTTATATTATTATTATTATTATTATTATTAGTTCATAATGAGGCCCCTCAGAGTTACTGCAATATAAACTGTTTATACAAAAGAACACTCATGAACAATGGAATGGAATCTTTAAGCACTGACTTAAATGCATAAAAATTGTACTTACAAGATATGCTCTTCTGTGTTTATAGCCACAGAGATGTTCTATCATAGGGGCCATCTCAGTGTTAAAGTAACATAGTTTGCATTCATAATGTGGCTCTTTCCTCCCTTCAAATCTGATTTCAACCACATGTTCTAAACCTATAAAATCAAAAGTTACAATACTTACACTTTTTTACACAGGCAATTTTAAATACATATAGTTTTATTATAGCTGTGTAGAGATAAGCAATGATGAACCAATGATAAAAGATACTTATCTATTTTAGGTATTTTCTACATTTCCTCACAATCACCCAGTAAGGATTAGATTTCTTACTGGAAATATTTATTAGTTCAAGTTTCAATTTTTACCAGTAATGACTTGTGTCTAAGTAAAAGTTTTGGCCTTGATAGACTTCCTGTCACAGTATTTCACATAACTAGAATCTTAAGAATATCCAACCAGAAGAAAAAGCAGGGGGTACAGGGAAAACACTTCAGCATTATCAGTAATTTTTATATTTTGATCTCCCCCATCAACATTGCCTTATTCTAATGATCTATGCAGAAGAGAGAAGGAAATGAAAGAATTAAAGTTGTCTGTGTGATCTTCACTCAGCCCCTTTATGAACATCCATGCAATCTTTAACCATATAATCTCTCATACTATTTTCCCCTCTGGATTCCTGCCTCATTCAATTACAAGATGGACCATGATTCTGGGGATGAATCAACATTGTATAGACTAGAAGAACGGGAAAGAATAGGAACGTCATCTTGGAGAGTTGAATTCTATCCTCGCCTATGCCATAGAATTCCTACATGATGCTCAGCAGGTCACCTAAACCAAAATTCCTTCACATGGTCAGTTCTTTCTTTATCTCATTTTCTGTGGATGTCTACACAGCAAAGTTATTTCAACATAACATCAGTTATGTTGAAATAACTTTCCTAGCGTCTACACAGCCATTCCGTTATTTTGAAATTAATTAGAAATAGCGGAAGGCTTATTTCGAAATTGGTAAACCTCATTCCATAAGGAATAGTGCCAATTTCGAAATAAGCTCTGTATAGACGCTTATTTCAAAATAGGGGGCCTCCAGTCCTTCCCAGGGTGCCCTACTGGCCACAAGGCAACTTTTGACCTGATGCCCTGCCGGAACTGGTTCCAACCAGCCTTAAATGCGATTCAACATCCACTCAGTGTGGACGTGCTATTTCGAACTAGAAAAACGCTATTTCGAAATGCATTGTGTGTAGACCCATTAATTCGAAATAACTTATTTTGAAATAACTATTTCTAAATAATGCTGTAGTGTAGATATACCCTGTGTGTCCAACCTGAAACCCTGGTTTCTGATCTGCAGAAGTGACTCACAAGCTGCAACTGAAGCCAATGGGAGCTATATTTAGAACCTGTGCAATGATATATAATGCTAAGCACTCTGGGGGGGCGGGGCGGGAGTTCGTAAGTGTCTCAAACTGAACACCAAGAACAAATGGACATTTAGGATCTTAACTTCTCTGTGCCTCTAAGCTCCCCATCACTAATGTGGAGATGATAATACTTCATCCCACAAAGAGAAAATAAATTGTGAAGCACTCATCTGAGTGCTAGAGGAAAGATTCTGAGGAAACAATTCTGTTTTCACAGCAATGATTGATTAGTGAATGTACACTAAATAATGGTTTAGGCAACATATCGAACAAGAAGATACTGAGAAACTACTCACTGAACAAGTACCATTCACCTCGTGTAATGGATGATACAGTGATCAGAAGTAAGAATAGTATGTTATCACATAGTTTAGACTATGATGATGCATGTGTGTACAGGTGACAATTAAGGTTGCAATGGTAACCTGAACTCTTGCACTCTCTGAGACTAGTTGGGTTTAGAGGTAGGGGAGACAGGAAGTAATCTCTCAACCCCACTATTTAGAAAAATAGCTCAGTTTAACCCCCAACACTGAGCATATATTCTATACCAATATCACATAAGGTTGCAGTAAGCTACCAGGCATACTGGGAATTGCTGCAGGACTAACCATGTGGGTAATCCATATTTTGCACTTCTCAGGAGTGCCATTAAATCAGTTAAGAGCAGACCCTGTGTGGAAAAGTAATGATCCACAGAGGAAACCTACTGTAGTAAGATGAGGACCTGAAACAAACCCACATATCACAGGCCAGGTATGAGGCCTCGACAGCAATGGTCAAAACTTTGCTAAAGTTAAGTTGTGAGCAAAAGGCAGCCCTGCTCACAGAAGTTGGCAAGAACAGGGTTAATATTACATAAATACTTATACTTAAAAGGTACTGGGCACAGGGTGGAAGCACATTCCAGAGGGGTTGTAACAGAACACCTCATTAAAGAACATCTTGGTATCACCACCCCTTTCTCCCCTCCCCCCCCAAAGATAACAAGAGTATACCAACACAGGTTCAGGACAGGGTCTAAATTGACAGCATGATGGATAGTATTTGAACCCCCTGTGCGAGAGGTAAGTGGTGATAACTAGGCAACACAAGGTAGCAACCTGATATGGTCAGGAGTGATGTGTAACTTGTTTGTACCAGAGTATACAAGTGTGCCCCAGAGTGGTCATTGGCTGACCTAGGCGGCAATGCTTGACCCATAATATTGACCGAGTTAGTCCATTGTCATGGTGTACATATGTATAGCAGTGCAACAGCAAGTCTGTTCACCGATAACTATTACTGTACTTTGCTTGGCAATAAACCTGGTTGGGTGCTTTCAATCCTTATCTGATTTGTGGTCTCTGAGGGCTCTCAGTTTGTGGTGTTGATTAATTGTGCATGGTTAATGCAGCAGACAGGGGAGCACACATGCACACCCAGCCAAAAGTTTCATCATCATAGATAGAGCAGAATACCTGTCAGGAATCCATCGGGAATGCCTGACTGACTACACCTACTGCTTACACCAGAACTCCTATTATTCAATTCAATGTACTCTTCAAAGATGCTAGCACTTGCTTGGATCATGGAAGAAATTGGCTAATAGGAAATGGCAGCCTAAGAAAAAACATTCAAGTAGAGAAAAGCTCTGTAATTTATCCCAAAAGATGATCTCAGGAACATCCCAAGAGCAAAACAATCATGCAGAAAATTCTGGGCCATCAGAAAGAAACTCATCTGGTTTTCTCCTGAAGGACCACAGAAAGAACTCTGGCATGTGGAGTTCAATGTGTTTTTCTAGAGATGGTGTGCTGCATTGCTAAAAGGCCAAACAACTTCCCAGCCTCCCAGAATAGGTTCTATCTTCAGAGTGAAAAGCTCACACTGACACAGCAAGTAATACAATATTTGCTATTGGATATCTTCCAAACAACATTAAATGTGGATTATATAAAAGTGATAAACAATATCTAATATATAATATATTATTTAACTTACACTGGCCATTGAAGCTCAAGTAAAGGGAAGCTGTCTAACCACAAATACAAAACATACCAACTAGAGGTTCCTCTCTTTTGGGATCTTTCATAAAATCCTTCAAGCAGGTTATGTCCTTCGTAAGCTTCCTCTTAACTAGCGTAAACAAAACAAACACATATTAGACAAACTACAAATACCATAAGCTATTGCACATTTTGCATATAGTTTCATATGACTGAATGATGAAACGAATTACTAGTCAAGATTTTTGAATGGGTCAGAGTGAATTTCAGTTATCAAATATTGAAAGATATTAGTTTATAATGGAAACCACTTTCCTTATAAGCTGTGTTCAAATGCACAGTATTAAGTCAATAAAAAAAAATCAATTTTTAAAATTTATCATCCAGACTTATCCTGGCATCCCATTTTGTGCCTGAAAAAACTGGGAGTTCAATATAGGTTACTAACACACCCACATTAATCATTTGCAAACAAAGTTAAGAGACGATGTTGTCTTTTACAAAACTCTTCAGCAAAATCAAAGCACTAGTAAAGGATTTTTAAGAGGTTTAGGTTTCACCGAACTAAGATGTTAGGGATAGAACCCCTAATCCTAGCAAAGGAAGACCTCAGCAGTTTTCAAGATTTTCCACACTAACTTCACTTAGGATTAATGAAACTGTTCAGGGAAGGACCAAAATAAACCAACACTTACTCTGTCCTGGATATGTTGGCCTGAGAAAATATCCTTAATCAGTGCTTAAATATACAATCATTTTAAGATGTCTGTATTAGACATCCTTGCATCATAAAAAACACCACACAGAATAAAACTCACACACACACACACACACACACACACACACACACCTTCTTTCCCCTCCACACACACACCCTTCCAGTAGTACATTCAGGCTTTACTGGACAGAGATTAAGATCAAAATTCAAACTGATTCTCCTAAAAATCAACATAATGCTCTGTCACTAGACAACAATTTTGTTGCTTATTTTACAGATTTACATCTGAGTAACTGTATGATGTGAGTATCTCATATAATGGGAAAAAAAAGCCATTAAAAACAAAGGTATCAACGCTATATTTAAAATATTTTCTCCTCTTTGCTGACATTATGGATCTCCTTAATAATGGAGTTTCCATAGTTAGATTTATTCAGCATTACTATAAAAATCAACTTGTTAATTTTACAGAGTTACAGTGAAACATTCGGTGAATCAGGCCTTCTCAGCATAGTTTTATTTAGATCAATTTTAATCATGATTTAAAATAAGCAATTGTGATCACGTTTTGCATTTGTATTTTTAGCTATTTTCCTAAAGAAAAATTGAATCTCATTGATTTATAACTATACGTAGCTTTTATGTAAAATTTGATGTTTCCTTTTGTTAACCAGGAGAATACACTATATTTATAAACTTTTATTTAAGCAGTTACATATATTAACTTAAATTTATTCAGATTCCATTTTTACAATGTTAGAAAATGTCATCTGATGTTATAACAAAATTATTGTGGGTTCTGTTATATTCTTGTGGCTAATTTTTTTTACTGGGGTTTCTAAAACATTCCATTGGAGCTGGTTTCAGGAAATCCATTTTAAGCTTTAACAAAGGGCTCAATCATTGCACATGGGTAAGATATCATCAGATTTCACTTTCTACTAAAAACTGAGTAGTTCTCTCCCTCACCCCGCTTTGGAGATGCTCAATATTAGCGATTTCTAGAACAAGTGTACATGACATAACAGTAGAAGAAGAATTTGAAGACCAAATGCATAGCTCTCTAGTAATTATTTTTTATTTTACTGAGTTTATTTTCTGGTGGTGGTCAATAAAAAGTCTCATTTTGTTATCTTCTTCAGAGATTCCTGAATTGTGGAAGTTTGCCACTGCATGAAGCACTGATGGTCAAACTGTTTGATGGGAAGAAACAATTCCACTTTTATACTAAAACTCAAGGCTGTCTTCATGAACTTTGGACTCTGAGCATTAAAAAAAATATATTCATTTATATTCAGTTTTCTTACCTGGTCTCGGTGTTTCATATACCACTGGAGCTGGAGCACCTAAGATAATATTTTATTTAGACAGTTATTTACCTTTTTCCACATAATAGAACAGACACAGGACATAAAACAGGCTTAAAGAATCTCTCTTTATTCTATATACCTAATGTTTTCATTTTAGCTTCACTAACAATATTGTTCCATTTTGGGGGTTTGTGTGTGTTTTTTAATTAGTATTTTCATTAATTTTTTAAAAAATGTTCATCTACAAATTTCCATTATTTTGCAAGGCAGGGGAAGTATCAAATAATGGATCACAAAGACTGAAAAAAATAACTACAAGAATTCATTAATGGTTTACTCCTATTCCTATTACTTCCATCATTTAATATTTACTATGGGAGCTCTGAAAAAAAAAAATCACAATTGGAATCAAAGCCCCACTGTGCTAGGCAATAAAAAGGGGGAGTGTCCTTGCTACACAATTTACAATATAATCAATTAGGGCAAACTCCATGTTCTATTTTTTTGCTACATAACGAATACATTTCCTGATCACTGGCTCACCTAATATTTTGATTTAATCTTGCATCCCACTCATTCAAGCCTTTTCCATGCAAGTTAAACCAGACAGTGTTTACTTTAGGAGTGAAGACTGGATGCTCTGAAGGCATTTCATCTTTGTGAAAACAGCACAAATGTTTTGATCACACTTCAAGGACCTTGATGAGGGATGTAGCATAAAAGAACATAGACCAGTTCAAAGTCTCTTCTGCAGAGCTGATCTCGAAAAGTAAGCCTTTTTATAGAACCAGGAAGTAGGAAAGGTTCTAAATTCAGAATACTGTGCTGAAAGCTAGGATTTCTGTTCCAGTACTGACATTTATTATGCTGATATCAACTGACAAGTGGTGCCTCTGTAAGAAATATGGTGTGCATATAATGTGGAGAAACCTGGTTAATTCTTAACTACTTCTTGAAAACAAGTGAGATCCAGGAGTAAATTCAATTTGCAGAGTTCATTTCTGGAACTTGGGAAAGGTGAAACTGCTTGAAAAGTAGCTTCTCAAATTAGTGGTTTTGTCTCGTTATCCAGACTGAGGTCTGGGTGCAAGCCTGAACAATTGTTTAGCAATCCCTTCAACTGAAAGTTTAGGTACTGAAAACTCATGTCTTCTTGGCCACTGTGGAACAGTTATTAATATTGACCATACTTTTCCTCTTTGGATCATTCTCTAGACAGCCAAATCAGGAAAAAAGCTAATACTTCCATACCATCATTCCCAAAGCTTCCATTTCTTTAAAGTACAACACATTGTGGAATTCTTTTGACAGACATGGATATTAGGAGGATACCAACATTTCTTATGATTTCTCTGAACTCTTAGATACGAGAATAAATCATCCATTCAATTTACTCATTACTGACTAGCGTACACTCCCCTCTCTGAAAGCTGTGTGTCTTTTACTGAAAATTTCACGCCAGTTAAATTCATCTCTACAGAACAAGAGGCAGGCATCTTTGTGAAGACTGGTGCCTCTCATCCCTTCTTGTCTGCCAGCATAAAACAGTCAGAAGGACTAGCGCCAGGAAACTCATGAGAGCATATGTTCATGTAGAGCGTCTACACTGAACGCATACATTCTGAGGAGCTTGCGTCTTCATGGATATGAAAGTGCTAAGTATATAGGCTATTAACAGAACTTCCTGTATCCTTGGTTCAAAAATACACTCTTCTCTGCACCAATCCCCTCTACCCACCATTAGAGATGTAAGAGTGTAAAAATGCATGAGTTTATCAGTTATCCAAATAGTTACATGTGGCTCCCAGTCCAGTTCCTGAGGATCTCCTGTATCAGAGGCAGCAGTGAGGGGCAGCAGGCAGGAGCCTGTCTGCGGAGGGAGCCGGGAGACAATTACTGCCCCACACTGCTGCTTCTGATACAGAGGCAGCAGCTAGCTCCCCGGGGAACAGGGTAGCAAGCAGAAGCTGGTGCATGATGAGAGCCAGCTTTTAAGCTGGCTCCCAGCACCCCACCAGCTCCCGGCGAGCTGGCTGCTGCACTGCATGTAACTGCTGAAAGGACAAAACTTATAACGTAATATCTGAAGCAAACAAAAGTACTCAGAGGTTGAAAACCTTCACCTTTTTCCTACCGTAAGTGCTCCTTCACAAGCTGGTTTCCTTTGAAATTATTAGGATTTTTTTAAAACTTTCCCTAGAGTCACTTTAATTAAACTGAAAGTATGTCATACTTCAATACTACAAGTTTAGACAAAGAAGTCTTTAAACCACAATCAAAATTCTTAAAAACGCAGATGGAAAAGAACCTTTTTTTTAAATGGAAGAGCCAGACATACTGCATAACTTTGGACACCTGTAAGAACAGGCTATAACAGAATTACCACAGAAACCAATTATTTTCCAATGATAATTGGAGGACCTAGCTTAATTCACAAATTTTGTAAACTGCTAACATAATAAAAAATTTTCAAGGATGTGCCAAGATTTATTTTACTCCTTCATTTCATCATTATACTATTTAAGCATCATTATACTATTTAAGATATTAGACAGTTTACTAATACAAGTGACAAAAGTAAGGATATCTTAGTAACGTGCCTATTATTAAATTTTAAAAACTGGTGTTCTGCCCGACTTCAAAATCTGCAGCTCTTACTTTGTGATTAGCAAGGCACTAGTTTTACAAGTCTGACATTCCTGTTAACTGACAGGTACACAAAGGTATGTATTTCTTCTATGTTCACACAGAGTGCAGAAGAGGGAGAAGAGAACCACAAAAAAGTTTTCATAAGTAGGATATATGAAGAGAGGCAGAAGCTCGCAAGCTGTGGTCCATAGAACAGTGTGATCAGACAAACTGCTACGTACTTTTACTTGTTCCCATCTGCTAACCCACATTAAAAAAAGCTCAATACATTACTTTTATACAAAGTTTTCATACAAGAAACTACAGTGATGGCCACAGGCTTGCTACATGATTATGAATGGGAAGCAAGATGATATATATGTAATTGTGAATGGAACAGGAGTTGTTCACAAAACACAATTAAAGAGTGATACACACAATGACAAAGAAGTTTGATTTTCCTTTGAATGTAAGTAATACTCTTGAGTTCAGAATAATTTAAGGCTACAAGTTATCCTTTTACCCAGATCCCTCCTCTCCAACCGTGAAAAATGCTTAATTAAGTTTCAAGGCAAGTAAGAATTAAACTGCTCCAGAACTGAAATATGGCTTGTATTAGGATACCAAACTCCATGTCAGCTCACTGCATATCACTGAAAAAGTAGCATAAATTCATCTGAAGAGTAGTCATGGCTACTTCAGTTTTTACATCAACACAAAAATAATAAAAATGTCTGTTTCCTATACCCATTTTCATTAGTGTCATTATCTGGTGGTCCTTACTTTTAAGGTCTCAAAGATGCAAGCTGGTTCACTACAGCATGATTTTTGTGTTATAACACTAAACTGCATTAAACAGATTTGCACAATAAGCAAAACCACCAAAAATGCAGTAAGTGCAAACAATAGCTGAAGTATTGAAAAAGCAATTTAATCATTTAAAAATTACAATTTGATAGTACCTATGAAAGCTTGAAGGGGAAGAAAAAAAAGGTCATACTTACGGAAAGAATTCATGGCTCTCTCTTTCTTTAAATATGAAGATGCAAATCATCCCAAAATAAAATAAGAAAAAAAATCATTAATGTGAGATCATTTAAAGAAAAACTGTACTTTCTTAACACAGCTTTTGCAGATGAATTACAATGAAGGCCAACTTTTTCATTTTTATACAGTAAAAAGTATATAGCCTTTATGATTTTCTGCAAAAGCTGGAAGTGCTGACAAAGAAGTGCTGATAACAAGCAATACCAGAGGGTTAACAAAGACAACCCTGGTATTACTTTAATGAAAGGGATCAAGTCTTAAAGATGATTCAGGCTTGACAGACTGGTCTCAGGGATGCCACACAAAACCTTGATTTTTGCATATATGCAGCTCATAAATTATTAAAAGCTGTAGTTCCAAAAATCAACATTTTGGGTTAATATGGCAAAATCCTCTGGCTAACCAATTTCCTAACATTCTGACCATAACACAAAGAACGGGCAAAGCAGTTTTCATCAAATGAATCCATCACAAGTGTTTTTTGGGGACAGATGGGAAGAGGATGGATCGAAATTTCCACTTCAAGATAATGGACAAGATTGATTAAATATTGACCTGTTGCTAGGTCTTCCCAGGCAATAAAGAATAAAGTCATTAATATTCTATTTAAGTCACCAATTTGAGAAATGAAACAATTCAACATATCTTTATGTCAATGGTGCAGTTGTATGTTCAGAGCACTCCAAAAAGAGGAAGAGTTTGAATGGCACATCTGAAATATTCAAGTGCCACAGAGCAGATGCTGCCAATCGTTTTGACAATTCAATAAGAGATTTTCTAATTGACACAAATAGTAAAGAGTATCTGAAAATTACCAAAATACTGTTATAAAAGAAAACAATGAGATTGGCAGTATCACTGCAGACCAGTGCAGCTTAAGCCCAATAGCAAAAGAGTAAGTCTCGCATCTAGATAGAGACACTGGAATCACAGATAACACCATATGCCATTCTAGCCTGGTGTCTTGAGCATGGTAGTCGCTAGTATCTGAAGTTTCAATGAAAGGTGGAAAATGCACATAGCCAATTATATAGTGCTGTACATGAGGGGGAATTTCTTCTGGGTCACTTCTGGGCAGTCAGCTTATTCCCTTGATTGTGTTTTGATTAGTGTTTGCATTAGCATCAGGGAAGTGACTCCACAGGTGAGAATGAATCTCTCAACCTATTTCTGACCCCTTTCAAATTTTCTTTTAAAAAGCATTGGAACTGAAAAGTCTCATAGTAAAATCTCAGGCCACAGGTAATATTTCTTACAGGAAGCTGGAAGTAAATTGCTCCAGCTGTTTTCGAGTTATAGGGCTCTGAGAAGTGTGATTTTTAACAAAATATCTAACTTTGAGAAGCCATAACTCAAAAACTGCTGTTTTTAGGGTTCAAACCTCCCATGCACTTAGTGTACCACAGTGCATAGGCTAGTTTTTAAAAGAGTACATATTCACTTACAAAACACTACATTTCATACACATAAGTAGACAACTCATCTTTTTATTTAAATCTTACCAAATAAGCACATTTTAAATGACCTTAGAGCAAGATCAGAATTAAATGTGGAAATGCTTCAAATTCCAATTATTTAAGATCTCTTCCATAATAACCCTGAGATTTTCCATGAAAGGGAAGCTTTCTTTAACAGAAATTTCTAAGCACTTTTGGTTGTGCAGATAACCTTCAGAACATAAGAGGATAGATACAGAGCTGCTGGGAACAACATAATAGCATCAGAACAGAAGTGTGTATTTCCCCCAAGTTCATTTCAATGGGGTAGTAAACTGAAGCCTAACATTGGTATTTAAGTTACCAACCGTTTCATCACGATCAGTGTCACTGAAAACATTTGATTAATATGGTTATCTAGTGTGCTCGGTTTCATTTGGAAGGCCATCCCAAAAGAATGAAGTTGTGATTGCAAATATCAAATATGCAAACATGTTCTCATCAATAAGATTTCCTCCTCCCTCTACCTTTTCCACCACTTAGAGAACTGTTCTGATTGAGACAAAGTAGTTTTGGTTTGATAGTGGCAGCAGAGTCTTGAACCCTAGAGGTTCTCTCTCTTTAGGAAGAGGGGAGACATTTGCCTTTGGATTCCCAATCTATGAGCCCACTGGGGGACAGGGAAGAAAGGAATTTCACAATCCCACAGATTCATGGATATATAAAGAGAGCATGAAATGTGCAATTTGTAACATGTACAGACAAAGTAGTTTTGGTTTGATAGTGGCAGCAGAGTCTTGAACCCTAGAGGTTCTCTCTCTTTAGGAAGAGGGGAGACATTTGCCTTTGGATTCCCAATCTATGAGCCCACTGGGGGACAGGGAAGAAAGGAATTTCACAATCCCACAGATTCATGGATATATAAAGAGAGCATGAAATGTGCAATTTGTAACATGTAC